AATTTACAAATAAATCACAATTATCTAAATCTTAAAGATAATACAATATAACTTCACTTTTACTAAACCTCCAATAACTCAGCTATCTGATTGTCAATTTCTATAGAATTTTCAATTAAGAAACTCTTAATTTTGAACCTTTTAATTAATACTATTAATGTATGCAATACTTTCGATATTCTTTGTATATATATTATTTTGGTAAAACAACTAATTATACAATCCAATAAACATAGTTTCCGAACGTCACCATAGATTGTAAAACTAAATCGGCCATATTTAGAATCTGCGGCACAGAGCTCGTATTTCGCGCCTCATTACGTTTTAACGATACAAGTTTTCAAAGAGACAGTAAAATGTTGCCGCGGTCATAAAACATGGCTAGCGGACCGTGGATGAGCACACACACAGACAGACAAGGAATTAGTTAATACATTTATTTATAGATAACACGTACATGTCACAGCTTAATATGTTTAAAATTTAAAGACGAAACCTCTCATCATTCAATGTATTCACGGTGCGTGTGTCAGGTAGGTACATCGTTGTAGTGAGAGGAGCTTCAACAGTGACTGGGACTTGTGACCCAGGTGTAGGTTTAATATATATAGAGAGACGAAACCTCTCATCATTCCATGTATTCACGGTGCGTGTGTCGGGTCCATCGTTGTAGTGAGAGGAGCTTCAACAGTGACTAGGACTTGTGACCCAGGTGTAGGTTTAATATATATAGAGAGACGAAACCTCTCATCATTCCATGTATTCACGGTGCGGGTGTCTGGTCCATCGTTGTAGTGAGAGGAGCTTCAACAGTGACTGGGACTTGTGACCCAGGTGTAGGTTTAATATATATAGAGAGACGAAACCTCTCATCATTCAATGTATTCACGGTGCGTGTGTCGGGTCCATCGTTGTAGTGAGAGGAGCTTCAACAGTGACTGGGACTTGTGACCCAGGTGTAGGTTTAATATATATAGAGAGACGAAACCTCTCATCATTCCATGTATTCACGGTGCGTGTGTCGGGTCCATCGTTGTAGTGAGAGGAGCTTCAACAGTGACTAGGACTTGTGACCCAGGTGTAGGTTTAATATATACTAGTCAAAATAAAATAAGGGCCACCATGTTTTTTTAGTTGATTAAAAGAAATATGGGATTTAGGGATATGAAAATGATTAGATTAAATTATTTAATCAATTTTTAATGTAAAGAGCAGCAGATATTGTTTTATTACTCCAAAATTAACATCCCTTTCTCTTTTTTTAGAAAAATCGACTTTTTAACCTAAAATGCACAATATGAAAAAAGTGTCTAATTTAAAAAAATACTGAACATTTGTTGAAATTTTTATTTTTTTCAGTAACGTGTGTGTCCTCCCCTTTTTCAAACATATTCTTCAAACCTCGAAGGCATACTCTCCACCAGGTGTCGTATTGTCTCCAGAGGGATTTGTTCCCAGCTTGTCTTTAGCACGTTGATGAGCTGTAGTTCGTTAGTTACCGGTTGATTTGTGTCACGAACACTATTTTTTAATAAATCCCACATCTGCTTAATAGGGTTAAGGTCCGGGCATTCGGCGGGCCACGGAAGCACGGAAACACCAGCTTCTTCTATTGCTTCGGCAGTAGTTTTAGCTGTATGAGCGCGGCTATTGTCATGCATTAATTAGAATCCTGCACCAATTCTCTGTGAAAATGGCACGACGTGGAGTCTTATGACCTGCTCAATGTACCGTTGAGCCGTTACCGTGCCTTCGTTGAGAATTACAAGCTCAGTTCGACCTGATAGTGAGATTCCGCTCCACACCATTACGTTGGGACCCCGAATCTGTCACTTTCGTGGATGCAAGCATCCGAAAATCGCTCTCCTTCTCTTCTCCAAACTCTAATGCGACGATCAACACTAAAAAATTTCACTCTGGATTCATCTGTGAACAATATCTTGCTCCAGTTATCGATGTTCCAGACCTGGTGCTGCCTAGCGAACGTTAACCGCCTTGCACGATGTGCGGATGACAGTGGAATTCACATTACTCATCCTCTAGAGAACTGTTGGTCTTCATGTAACCGATTCCTAATCGTTTGGTCACTTACGCGGATGCCCGTCTCTTGGCGCAAGCGGTTTTGTAAGGAACGGGCGGTGACGACTCGCGCTCTGCGCGCAGTTAACCGTATGTAGCGGTCTTCCTGTGCTGTGATTGCTCGACTCCTGCTTGTTCCTGGTGTTCTGGTAACTCTCCCAGTCTCTTGAAACCTAATCCAAGCATTCTGGATTGCTCGCCGTGAAAAACCCAGCTGTAGAGCTACAGAACGCTGCGAATGGCCCTGTTGAATCAGCGTTATGGCCATAGATGTGATCGGTATGTCCATATGTATTCGAATCCTCGTCATTATTCTTTAAAAATGATAATCAAACACTAACAAAGGGAATTCCTGCAGTTCGCAAAGAACTCGACATTTTAAATGACTCAAAAAGTCGACTCCAAATAGAGTAATTTTTAGTGATTTCGGAAAAAAAATCATAATCGACCCACTTCAAAAATTAAGTAAGTGATATACTCTCATAATGTTTGTCAACACTTAATGTAACGCCACAAAAAGTCTTAACCGGAACCGATACCTTAAAATTTATTAGATCGCTTCAAAAGTCAAAATAAACAAGTGGCCCTTATTTTGTTTTGACTAGTATATATAGAGAGACGAAACCTCTCATCATTCCATGTATTCACGGTGCGTGTGTCGGGTCCATCGTTGTAGTGAGAGGAGCTTCAACAGTGACTGGGACTTGTGACCCAGGTGTAGGTTTAATATATATAGAGAGACGAAACCTCTCATCATTCCATGTATTCACGGTGCGTGTGTCGGGTCCATCGTTGTAGTGAGAGGAGCTTCAACAGTGACTGGGACTTGTGACCCAGGTGTAGGTTTAATATATATAGAGAGACGAAACCTCTCATCATTCCATGTATTCACGGTGCGTGTGTCGGGTCCATCGTTGTAGTGAGAGGAGCTTCAACAGTGACTGGGACTTGTGACCCAGGTGTAGGTTTAATATATATAGAGAGACGAAACGTCTCATCATTCCATGTATTCACGGTGCGTGTGTCGGGTCCATCGTTGTAGTGAGAGGAGCTTCAACAGTGACTGGGACTTGTGACCCAGGTGTAGGTTTAATATATATAGAGAGACGAAACCTCTCATCAATCCATGTATTCACGGTGCGTGTGTCGGGTCCATCGTTGTAGTGAGAGGAGCTTCAACAGTGACTGGGACTTGTGACCCAGGTGTAGGTTTAATATATATAGAGAGACGAAACCTCTCATCATTCCATGTATTCACGGTGCGTGTGTCGGGTCCATCGTTGTAGTGAGAGGAGCTTCAACAGTGACTGGGACTTGTGACCCAGGTGTAGGTTTAATATATATAGAGAGACGAAACCTCTCATCATTCCATGTATTCACGGTGCGTGTGTCGGGTCCATCGTTGTAGTGAGAGGAGCTTCAACAGTGACTGGGACTTGTGACCCAGGTGTAGGTTTAATATATATAGAGAGACGAAACCTCTCATCATTCCATGTATTCACGGTGCGTGTGCTGGGTCCATCGTTGTAGTGAGAGGAGCTTCAACAGTGACTGGGACTTGTGACCCAGGTGTAGGTTTAATATATATAGAGAGACGAAACCTCTCATCATTCCATGTATTCACGGTGCGTGTGTCGGGTCCATCGTTGTAGTGAGAGGAGCTTCAACAGTGACTGGGACTTGTGACCCAGGTGTAGGTTTAATATATATAGAGAGACGAAACCTCTCATCATTCCATGTATTCACGGTGCGTGTGTCGGGTCCATCGTTGTAGTGAGAGGAGCTTCAACAGTGACTGGGACTTGTGACCCAGGTGTAGGTTTAATATATATAGAGAGACGAAACCTCTCATCATTCCATGTATTCACGGTGCGTGTGCTGGGTCCATCGTTGTAGTGAGAGGAGCTTCAACAGTGACTGGGACTTGTGACCCAGGTGTAGGTTTAATATATATAGAGAGACGAAACCTCTCATCATTCCATGTATTCACGGTGCGTGTGCTGGGTCCATCGTTGTAGTGAGAGGAGCGTCAACAGTGACTAGGACTTGTGACCCAAATCATACTAATATGTTGTTTTTTTTTTTATAATATCAACACTAACATACAGCCAATGTCCTGAATGTGATAATTGCGTTTTCAATAAATACTTTTTAGTTACAAATTAGTGTATGAGGCTGGTAATGTCTCTACCGTCTTTGTGATCACTTTTTAACTTATAACGAAAATAAATAATTTTATTATTTGGAGCTTGCTTAAATGAATTTTGCCAGATTAAGACTTTTTAATATGGGTATAAAGACTAGTTAAAGGTTAAAATTGTACTTTTTAAAAGTTTATATAAAATTATATTCAAGAAAAGTTAAATTCGATTAGTCTAAAACAAAAAAATCTAAAGACTTATCTAATTTCAATTACAAATGTCGTTACTTTTCAACTAATATTTACTTACAGGTCTTCCAAGCGTAGCTGAGTATTGCGTTCAATAAAATATTCATTACTTTGTTCGTATGAATACATTTAAAATACATGTGGCGCTATCTGTCATCAGATAGAGCAAACTTTAATTATTCCGTCATCTAGCGACGGATAGCGTCATTACAAGATCACATGGACATCTATAGACAATATATATTTTATTATATATAATTAAATACCAATGATCATTCGATTTTATATTAAGTATTATTAATTTTTTAATATATATTTTCGATGTACAATGAAGTAGTAGTGTTAAAATCTTTGTCATCATTTGTCATGTACGGCAAAATAAAATAAACACGTCAATAGTGTCAAAATCTGTTGTGTCATGTCATCTTAATATTTTTGTAGCGGTGCTGTGTTGGAAAAGTTAAAAAAATAGTAAAATAACAGCATATAATCATCTATTGAGACGAAAAATATCAAATAGAAATCTCTCACAATGCATTGGTACGGAGGCAGTATGGCGGAGGCTGTGAATCTATCTAAACAGAGGAACGCTATTTTCGTTGTATTTGTAGAAGGTGAGTGTTATTTGAATAATTTATCGTATGTTAATAATAAATATTAACTATATTTAACACTTACTACTCAGGTAGTAACTGTTACGTCATACTGGCGTCATTGTTTTACTAAGTGGTAACCGTATTTCAATGTTACGTATCTGCTTAGAATTTTCCTTAACCTTATTTATTTTAAGGTTCATTATATGTTTACTTAAATCTGTTAGATCTTACTCTAATCTTAAAACCAGCCATTCTTCTTGTATCATTCCTTATATTTGATATTAACCATTAATGTTGTATAACATCGTTATAACATTACTATCTTGGAATCATAATGATTTTAAAATGAGCTAAAAGTATAAATAAACCAATATATATACACATGTGAAAAAGAAAGCCATAAATGTAATAGAAGTGAGTACAAAATAGCTTTAATAGCTATTCATCACACAAGAAAGACCTCATAAGGTTAAAGAATCTTGCTTGTTAAAGATTAACATAAGTATAAAGAAATTTAAATTCTGATGTATATATATATACCAATACATTAATAGAAAGCCTGAATTAATGATAATTAGATTACTTTCAAAATATTATAAACCAAGGCACAATACATAGCTAATAACATATAAATAAAATGTATTTCTTGCCTACAAATATTTATTTATATAGCCTATAGGTAACCTATAACAAACAAATAAATAACCAAATTTTATAAATATATTTTTATTTAAAAATTTATTATTCAGTGAATTATGTGTTCAAATGTCAGTGTGTTCAATGAAACCAAAATTTAAATGATTTAATTTAATTTTAAAGCTAAAATTAAATTAATTGGATTGACTATATTGTATGAAAGATGAACAAATAGTGACAGAATATTATAAAAAGTCTAACACATGTAGAATTAACAATTTTGCTAAGTAATAGAGTGACCTGTGATTATACAGTAATTCTCTTATTATTTCATTTACTATCACTATAACACCTTAAGTGTTTAATTTTAACAGAATAAAATATATAATTGACCTTAGTCAACTTTATTTACATACAAATAATGAAATATCTGAACTACATATATATATTACTAGATGAAAATTAACAATTCCTTTGACTAAAGTCATAAACAATTTGTACTTGGGCTTTTTTATAGACTTTCCCATATAAGTGCTATTGAAATTATAATAATATTTATTATGTAAAGAACAGTGTAGGCTTTGTATGTACTAAGAGATTGAGATTTCTTAACTGTATAAATATAAGTTAATTTTATTCTGTATATGTCTAACCATGACATTATCGCACATAGTACTATTAGTAATTAGAAAAGATGTCCTCATAAAATTAGTATTATGTAAACAAACAGATGTCTTTAGTTGGAAAACTCACATATAATTTTTTTTTTGTTAAATATATTATATATTTATATAATAATAAATTGATCAACAAAAGTAGGATTTGTACCTATTACTACCTAAATATTATATTCTAGTAACTTTAAATACTTAACTACAAATTACTTATTAATATTTTGTTATTAATGATATATATTATATAATATTTCCCAGATGATAACAATCTGTCCAAGGAGCTCCTTTCTACAATAGATGACAGTGCGGTTGTCAAACGTCTCACCGATGAAAACAACTTCTTGGCTGTTAAGTTGAAGAGTGGCTCCGAGAACTACACATACTTTGCACAGATCTGTATCCTTTATATATAACATATATATATATATATACTTGTAAGGTACTGTAATACATATAATATATGTATTACATAGATTGAATTCATTTCTAGTAAAAAATATCAAATTAATTAGTATAGTATAGTAGAGAGTTTTACTTATATAAAAATTTATTTTAATATTAATATCTTCAATTTCTATATAATTAATGTCTTGTCACAATTTTGTCAATTTAAATTTAACAACAAGCCATCACATTTATATAATATAATGTAAAAGAATGGTGTTGAAAATTTATATTAATAAGAAAAAAATATGTAGATTGTTTGTCAAAACTCAGTAAAAGTTTATTTTAATTGCATCTAAACTGAATTCTTATCACGAGTTTACAACATCCAACTGTTTCTAGTTTTTCAATTATTAATCCTATTAAGATAGGTTGAGTAACTACAAGTACTGTGTTTACATATGTATGACTAGCTGCGCCCCGCGGTGTTACCCGCGGATTTCCGGGATATAAAGTAGCCTATGTCTTATTCCTGGACGTCAGCTTCCTGTATACAAAATTTTATCAAAATCGTTTCAGCCGTTTGAGCGTGAAGAAGTAACAAACATACACACACACTCACAAACTTTCGCAATTATAATATTAGTAGGATAATGTAAAAGATTGGTGTTTCTTTAATTGATATTAACAAGAAAATAAAAATTGTAAATTATTTGTCAAAACTCAGTAAAAGTTTATTTTAATTGCATCTAAACTGAACTCTTATCACGAGTTTGCATCACCAAACTAAGCGTTTCTAGTTTCCTTCTTTTCCAATTATTAATCCTATTAAAATAGGTTGAGTAACGCAAATATTATATTTATAGTAATATTTTAGTTATATATGTATGATTTTAATCAATCTGAAGTATCAATAGTATCTTTAACACTAGTATAGACCAGTTTGTGCCGGTACCTTCATTATTCTTCATCGGTCGTAATGGGACTCCGTTGGAGGTTGTATGTGCCGGCGTGGAGCCTCACAACCTGGCAACCAGGATTGACAGGATCCTCAAAGAACACCGTCAGTATATGAATATAATTTTATGTATATATCTATCTCTTTCCCACTCATTTCCTTTTCCCAATCTTACTTCTCCTTCTTCCCCAAACAACGCTACCGTAATATTATTTCGGGGATGTCTATGGTTGATGACGGCGATGTTTGCTTCCTTTTTCATATAAAAAATTAATAAATATGTGAAAGGAAAACGAGCAGATGGCTTACTTGGTGGGTAGTAGTCACTGTCGCCCATGGACAACCTTAAAATCTATGTTGTTAAAAGGGAAGGGTGAGAATAAAGTATTGGCATGAAAAGGAAAACCGTCTATCTTTAATCGGACGAAATGCAACCATTAAAGACTAGTTCACACCAATCTTCTGTGAGAAGGTGGTACTTCAACGGTCGAGCCAGTACATGTTCCAGCTGTAGTTACTTGACTACAACTAGGCAATACTACCTATTAGAAAAATGTCCTTAAATAGTATAGTAGCTAGCACGTGACTTGGCAAGAGACGATAGATAACCTGAATGAAATTTCTATATGTCATATACAGGGTGACTGGTGAATTACTATCAATATTTGAGGACGTGATAGTTGACGATCATATATGACAGAATAAAAATTAATATAACATAAATATTAATAAACTTCTAAGTAAAGTTAACCAAAAGTTGTGTAATTAATTACGCATCGTGTGAACACCCTACAGATTAGGTATACACACACACGCACACAGACGCGGCGGGGGCGTGGTTTTGTATCAGCACGCCGCCGCACGCGTCCACACTTGGAACGTGTCAACACTTTATTTATTTATACGGAAATTTGGTCAAAAATTAAGTACCTATTTTTTTTACATAATTCGAATGAGAATCATGTACCGACTATGCTCCTTAAATATTGATAGTAATTCACCAGTCACCCTGTATATGATACGGAACGAGGAATGACATGAAACAAGTCTTGTACGTGATGTGATGTTAGATACTGAATACACTGACAAGCAGTTAAACAGGACCAATGTTTTGTTACTGTTGAGTTATTATTATCGATAATCATCAAGAGTGAGCAGTCTTTATTACACTCACTGTACATGTACCAACTCATTCCCACTACTACATAAACTTGTCAAGTTACATGCTGTCTATTATACTAATGTAACCATTTAGACATGACACATTATTTATTTTTGATATAATTTCCCATGATATCCATAAATTATATTTAAATACTATTTTTTTTTTTTTGCGACTTTGTCTATCTAAACTGAATTGTTCTCAATATAAATTTCATCATCCAGGTAAAGAACAACCATCCGACCTAGTTGAACCGTCAACTTCATCCAAAAACATTAAAGATGAAACCGTCAACTTCATACAAACAGAAGCCACAGCCAGCACCGCTTCAGCTGAAGATAAAACACCGCAACCCAATGACAGAGCAGCGGCGACCCCCAAAACAGCCACAGAAACCCCCAAAACAACACTCGAAGACCCCAAAACAAACCCAGAAACCCCCAAAAGTAATGCTGTAGAAGAATCAGGTATAAATACATAAATAGTGTCATTCAAACATTTTCATTTAATTATTAGCACAAGTAGAAATAAATGTATTGTACTAACATTATAATCATAAATAATATTTAGGTCTACTTAAAAAAGAAATAGAAAAAAATACAATCCCATTATTTAATATTCTCTTTTAATGAAAATAACATTGATACTTTAAATAAAGTAGAACATATACAGGGTGACTGGTGAATTACTATCAATATTTAAGGAGAATACTCGGTACATGATTCTCATTCGAATTATGTAAAAAAAATAGGCACTTAATTTTCGACAAAATTTCCGTATAAATAAATAAAGTGTTGACACGTTCCAAGTGTTCCAAGTGTGAAAGCGTGCGGCGGCGTGCTGATACAACACCACGCCGCCGCACGCGTATGTGTGAGTGTGTGTGTATACCTAATCTGTAGGGTGTTCACACGATGCGTAATGAATTACATAACTTTTGGTTAACTTTACTTAGAAGTTTATTAATATTTATGTATATTAATTTTTATTTTGTCATATATGATCGTCAAATATCACGTCCTCAAGTATCGATAGTAATTCACCAGTCACCCTGTATAATGAAAAGTTCCTATAGACATCCACGATTTGAATCTGCGACCTATGGATTGTTCCAGTCAGTTTAACCACTGAGCTATAGTGTCCTTATTCTAAATACATTAAAGACACAAATATGAATCTAATCTCACAATTCAAGCGCTATACAGGGTGACTGGTGAATTACTATCGATATTTGAGGACGTGATATTTGACGATCATATATGACAAAATAAAAATTAATATACATAAATATTAATAAACTTCTAAGTAAAGTTAACCAAAAGTTATGTAATTCATTACGCATCGTGTGAACACCCTACACATTAGGTATACACACACACACTCACACATACGCGTGCGGCGGCGTGTATTGTATCAGCAGGACGCCGCACGCGTCCACACTTGGAACACTTGGAACGTGTCAACACTTTATTTATTTATATGGAAATTTGGTCAAAAATTAAGTACCTATTTTTTTTACATAATTCGAATGAGAATCATGTACCGAGTATGCTCCTTAAATATTGATAATAATTCACCAGTCACCCTGTATATATCTTTTATTCAGTGTTCCTTCCTTTATAATAAAATAAATAGGATTATTAACATTTATGACCTTCAATATCATCAGTGTAAACAAATATTAACTAATTGGCTTTATACTTTAGACTATCATGCTACTGAAGAATTGTTAACTGTACAAACGTAAGAAATATTAATAAATAAAAAATAATAAGTAAATAGGTATAAAAATAAAATTATATAATACACACCCACACTAATACACACACACACACGTAAAATGTTTTCCATTTCCATTTTTAATCTTATAAATAAGTTAAATATTTGTTATTTTATAATTGTATGTTTCGATATATGTATATCCAGGAGGAGGAGCGGGTATTTTGAGACACAGGTTAAATCTACTTCAAAATTCCTGTTGCTAACTCTTCTTCTACCTGGCCATTTCCCGGCTATAGCCAGGGTCTGCCTGGCTAACTATTCCTGTTGCTAACTTTTGCTGTACAAACTAATTTAAACAATTTTTTTTTATTCAGAATCAGGTCCCGCTGCCAAGATACAAAAGATGGATAAACCCGAATCCCCGGAGTATGAAGTGGTGTGTGTGGGTGATGTATGTGTTAGGAAACCTCGCGCCGACCTACCAGAAGCATCCAGTTCTAATAAGGTACTAATTAATAACGCCCTGCCCCGCGGTGTTACTCGATTCCCGGGATGTAAAGTAGCCTATGTGTCATTCCTGGACGGACGCTTCATGTATACAAAATTTTATCAAAATCGGTTCAGCCGTTTGAGCGTGAAGAAGTAACAAACATTCAAACTCACAAACTTCGCAATTATAATATTAGTAGGATAACTATTCCGCCATCTTGGATGTGCCGCCATTTTGGAGTTATTATGACGTCATAAGCTGTATACAAAATTTTACTCAATTATTTGAAGATATCTGCTTTAAAATGTCTCATAAACAAATAACATAGCAAGTTAATTATAAGGTAAAAGAAGTATCTAAATAAAACATGAGGCATTGTAATGATATCTAAGCCTTTCGCGAATATACACTCAAATGAAACTAATATTTTCTGATTATACTGCGAGATCTCGTTTGCCCGTGATAAAAGTTACTGAAAAGTAGCCGAAACGTCGGGAGTATGTAGTTCAAATAATAAAATACGCGTTGTGTAATCCGAATAATATTAGTTTCATTTAAATGTAGCATTGTAATTTTATTGGATTTTTGGATATTAATCAAATATAAAATAATAAGATTATGCTATAACTGCTACATAATAGTGTATGCCAGTTTTACATATGCCTGTAATGCAACATGCAATAGATGGCAATATTGGCTGTCCTATTTAATTTCAATTTTGAAACTGATATCATTGTCTTAACAATATTAATGGCAATTTTGTGATGATGTCACATTATGATTTATTTTAAACTATTATGATTAAATTTAAAATTGACACTAATGTGTAGTGCTATCTTTAATTATTATATTAACAATATGTTTTTTGGACTTAGAAAATTATATATACATATATTAATTTCACAATTATGAAATAAATGCTTTTATACTATATATTATTTTATATTATTTTCAGCCGGAACCAAGCCCTGTATCAGCGCAGGAGAGTTCAGTCAGTAATGATGACAAGATAGAGAAGGCCAAGGAACTGATAGAAATAAGACGGAGAGAAAAGGAAGCTAAGGAAAAAGAGGTGGGGGAGGACTGTACTTGATATAATATAATGAATGAAATATTATGAACTAAATAATAATATGAATCTTCCATATATATATATATATATAAATATATATATATACAAATAAAAGTATATCAGATAGCTAATAGATAATTTTTTTATCATACAATTAGAAAAAATATATAAAAAATTTAAATTAATCTTAAAAATACTCACATGTTCTTTGTCTGACGATAATTTAGAGACACCTCTATTTATCAGCGCCCTCTATCGTATTAAATAATTTAAGTACTTTATAGCCATCGTTTATAATAACTGTAATTTTTTGAAAGATATTATGAAATATAATTATACAAAAATAAATAAAAAATTATCATTTGTATTAAAATAATATATTATATGAACAGTTGGAGAAACAGAAAGAATTGGAGCGTCGGTCTGTGGGTCAGGGAGTGTCTGAATTGAAGAGGTGGCAGGCGGAGCAGGAAATGAAACAGATACAGGTTGATAAATATAATAATTATAAAATTTATTTGCTCTGAATGTAGGTACAGAATATAGGTGTATAAGGCATGCAAAAATTTGGCTTAAATTATAAATTAAATTTAACTTTTAAATAAAAATTAGAAATTAAATTAACAATGCAATTATAATTATAAATTCATATTACATGTTTTACAGATGAAAATTAACAATGACAGATAGATAGATGATTAAGTTATATATTTTATACATTTTTTATTCATCAATTTCTTACAATATTATGTCTTGTCCATTATACAGGGTGACTGGTGAATTACTATCGATACTTGAGGACTTGATATTTGACGATCATATATGACAAAATAAAAATTAATATAACATAAATATTAATAAACTTCTAAGTAAAGTTAACCAAAAGTTATGTAATTAATTACGCATCGTATGAACACCTTACAGTTTAGGTATACACACACACTCACACAGACGCGGCGGCGGCGTAGTGTTGTATCAGCACGCCGCCGCACGCGCCCGTACTCGGAACACTTGGAACGTGTACACACTTTATTTATTTATACGGAAATTTGGTCAAAAATTAAGTACCTATTTTTTTTACATAATTCGAATGAGAATCATGTACCGAGTATGCTCCTTAAATATTGATAGTAATTCACCAGTCACCCTGTATAATCATTTACGGAGTAATAACACTTGTTGACTAGTAAAGAAAACAAAAGTTTTTTAAATTTCACATTAGTTAAGTCTTTTATTGCATTCGGTATTTTGTTGTATATAATAGGGGCCATGGTCAATATGTTCCTTCTCAATATGTATATATACTACATACAACATATACAAAATCACCATAGAACCATAATAACATTCATAAATAGTCATATACTAGAAAGTTTTGGGTTAAAGAACTTTATTTAACAGAATTTACATTCACTTAAAACAAAAATACAATTATAAAAATTTTGTTTGTTGGGTAGTTCGACAATTACGGTACACTCGATGCATACAAACAAAGAACTGTTGCAACTTCATCAAAATCATCACAGCCATTGGTAATAATAATTATTTGATTTTCAGGAGGAGAGAAAGAGAGAGAAAATGGAAAATGAGCTCGCGAGACAACGAATACTGGAACAAATAGCACAGGACCGAGCGGAGAGGAGAGCTCGCGAGAATGTGAACACACAGAACGTACAACAGACGACCGTGCAACAGACACCGCCACCTGCCAGTAGATATACAAACACTTATATATATACATACATATATATATCGTAGCTTTCCGCCCGCAGCTTCGTCCGCTTGGAGTTTGGTTATATCGCGTTCCCAAGAGAACCTTTCAAAAGTCTGGGATAAAAACTATCCTATGTTCTTTCTCAAGGTCGACTCTATCTCTGTACCAAATTTCATTAAAATCAGTTCATTAACCCCCCTTGTGGGTGGAATTTCGTAAAATCTGTTCTTGAATACTATATATTTACTTGAATAGTAGTTCCCAAAAAGGTTTGATTACAGACAGCGGCCCTCGTAAAAACAATTAGTCAAAACTATTTACATATAAGGTAGACACTGGCTATAGCTGGGAAATAGCCACAAAGAAGATTTATATACTTGAATACTTCTACCTATCAATTTCCCATCTTTGCCTATATACTTGGGTCTGCCTATATACTTGAATATTATATATATATATATATTTTTCTACGTTTCAGCATCAGGTGACTCGTTCAGTGCCCGCGTTCAGTTCAAGTTACCTGATGGTACCACTCATGTGGCGACCTTCCCCGCGAGAGCGACTGTTCGTGACGTCACCACATACGTCACACAACAGCTACAGGTAATATATATATCTTTATATATATAATTCTTCTGTGAGTGTGTATGTCACCGAACTTCTCTCAGACGACTGGACCGATTTTGGATGAATTTTTTTTGTATGTGTTCAAGGGGATTTGGGAATGGCTTAGATTCACAATTTTGTTCGCTGGACAATGTTTTTTCTAATTATTATTTTTTAATTTATTAGTAGTTGTTGATACAAACGTTTTTTTTTTTGACATTAGATTTGACAACTAACTAATATTTGACAACTAATTGATAGTTAAACTCCAAAAATATAAATAAAAAAACGTAACAGATATTTCTTGATCATAGGGCGATACGAAGTTCACCGGGTCTTCTAGTATATATGTATATATATGTTGGACCCCTATGAGTTATACATGTATAGTAGCACATATCAATGTTTAGTCGTAGTGGGGATAAGTTGGTACATGTACAGTGAGTGCAACAAAAACTGCTCACTCATGATGATTATTAATAACAAGAACTCAACAGTAACAAAACATTGGTCCTGTTTAACTGCTCGTCAGTGTACACGGTAGTTAACATCACATCACATACAAGACTAGTTTCATGTCGTTCCTCGTTCCGTATCATATATATGACATATAGAAATATCATTAAGCCTATCTATAGTCTCTCGCCAAGTCACGTGCTAGCTACTATACCATCTAAGGACATTTCTCCAGGTCATTGTTATATCTAATACGTAGTAGAGCCTATCTGTGGTCAAGTTACTACAGCTCGAACATGTTCTGTCTCGACCGTGGAAGTACCACCCTCTCACTGAAGATCGGCGTGAAGTAGTTGTCTTTAATGGATGCGTTTCGTCCGATGAGTGAGAGAGACGGTTGCACTTTCCATCTTCCCACCATTTCCATTTTCCCACACCTTCCTCATCCTCAACTACGATTCATACTAGCTACTATACCAATGAATACAGTACTATACATAATATTATTGTTATTTTATGTTTTTGTTTTTTTTATTTCTGTTTATGTTAGTACTGTCTCGCAAAAGATGTTCACAAATAAAACATTTTCTTTCTTTCTTCTATGTATAATATATTTTATACTCAATATACTCTAATATAATCATTATAATATATTCTATTCACTATTCAACCATATGTTTTCAGCCGGAAGGTCTATTCTCCCTATGGACAGCGTTTCCTCGTCGTGAGTTATCATCACCGGCCAGTACACTGCTCGAGCTACAACTAGCGCCCTCTGCTGCGCTACTGGTGTTGCCGCAAAGGTCTGGATTACAACCCGCTGTGGGACCTGGGCCATTTGGTATGAATATTATATAGAGACTAGTTATAATACATATATAAAATCAGTGTGATTAACTGTTATTGAATATCTATCCCTACTAATATTATAATTGCGAAAGTTTGTGAATGTGTGTGTATGTTTGTTGCTTCTTCACGCTCATACGGCTGAACGGATTTTGATAAAATTTTGTATACAGGGAGCTTGACGTCCAGGAATAACACATAGGCTACTTTATATCCCGGAAATCCGCAGGTAACACCGCGGGGCGCAGCTAGTAGTATATAAAATACAGTGTAATTAACTGTTATTGAATATCTATCAGTACTAATATTAAAAATGTGAAAGTAACTCTGTCTGTCTGTCTGTTACGCTTTCACGCTTAAATCAATGAACTGTTTTTAATGAAATTTGGTACAGACATAGAGTAGAACTTGAGAAAGAACATAGGATAGTTTTTATCCCAGATTTTTGAAAGGTTCCCTTGGGAACGCGATATAACCGAACTCCACGCGGGCGAATTATATTATAAACAGTAATTTTAGTCGATTACCACGGATTTGTGACGTCAAACGAAATACTTACAGTTTACAGTATTCCATCAAAAATGTTATGTATAAGTTTAGGAAAAATTTTGAACTTATATGTAGTGTAAAAGCACATTTGTGGTAAAAGTAGTCTGGTTTATAGGAAAGAAATTACATACTTTGTTAGATTTTTTACAGATAATATAAAACGAGTATAATTTACATGAATACAAAATTTATGTTTAAACTGTTTGTGTTCTCATGTCTTACAAGTTAAAATTTTGTTAATTTTATGTAGATTTAACATATAATACTGATATATCACAAATATTTGTTCGTTTCTCCATTACACGATTAATTTCTTCAACAACTGACTATATGTATAATAATTTTGTCTTTTTCATATCAAGTAACAATAATATTATTTACATTCCAGCGTTCCTGACCACTCTATTCACAACGCTCTTCCTAAACCCAACATATCAGATATTCTACTGGATTAGAGACCGATTCTTCCCGGTGTTATCTAGACCGAGTGCACCAGACCAGTCTAGACCGGAACCAGCCAGACCGGAGCAGTCTAGACCGAGGAGTGGTCTACGGAGACGAGGGAATGTTCACAGACTGACTGGCGATGGAAACAATGATGATGATAATAATACATGGAATGGAAACTCAACGCAGCAGATGTAGAAGCGAGGTTGTAGTATGATTGACTTATACATAGTACTAGATTTGCCCGCGACTTCGTCCGCGTTAATTTCGGCATTAGTAATATATAAAAGAAAGCCCATAAATGCGGCAATACCCCAACAACTACACAACAGAAATGATATAAAAATTAAGAATTACGTTAACATGAATAGTTTGGCAGTATTTAACAAATTAACTACAGAAAGAAACTGTTGTCTATAGACATTGTCTATCATAACTCTTTTTTTTAATGAAGTGAATGCTTATTGGCTATCGGTCGTGCCTAAATAGACCGGTAAAAGGTACTTCCATTTATAAAAATGTGTATTTTTTGATGAAAAAACTTAGGTTTTATCGCAGTATAAAAAGCATCAGGAACACACTTTTTAATGTATAAGGGCTTATATACATTATTTAAAAAACTAGTAGGTTTACAAAAAATTTCATCAATCTTAAATGACGTACATGTAGGTATATCATAGTTGCTATGCAAAGTTTCAAAAGCATCAGTTGTATGTACAAGATACATTGAAATCAAACTTAAAACACCTCTACTGAATAATTGTCATTTACACATTGGCCCTTAGACATAGGAGCCATCAATATTTATGTTATAGGTTATAATTGCTTTTTTGTTGGCACTAATCTCAAAAACTACTGAAACGATTTTAGTTAACATATGGTTGATCCACTTAAATGAATCATGCTTTGAATATCTGTTCATAAGTTACATACATAAACAATGACATAATTAATACATATTTGGATTAAAGAAGAATTCTTCATATTATTGATTTGCATATGTAAAGATATATGTTGATCTGTTTGTCATATTATATAGTATATATATACTATATATATATTAAAATGATTTAACATAGAAACTAATGCCATATCCCTACTAATATTATAAATGCGAAAGTAACTCTGTCTGTTATGCTTTCATGCCTAAACCACTGAACTGATTTTAATGAAATTTAGTACAGACATAGAGTTGACCTTGAGAAAGAACAGGATAGTTTTTATTCCAGACTTTTGAAAGGTTCTCTTGGAAACGCGATATAATCGAACTCCACGCGGGCGAAGCTGCGGGCGGAAAGCTAGTAAAGCATAATTATTAATATTAGTTTTTGTTTAATGTTTCAGGTGCAATAAAGGATTGGACTTATTATGTACGCTTCAACTTATTGCTGATATATTAAATATAGAAATATTCCATACACATATTATGATGAAACTGAATCACATTATATACTTTGTATAAATATTGTTATATTAAATGTTAATTATCACAAATAAATTGACATACACAGACATACTTATATGATTATTGCTTGGATAAAAAAAAACTAATTTTCTGGGTTATATTATAGCTTTATGATTATAATTAAAATCACATTAAATTATTTCCTGTCAAACTTTATTATTTTGTTAATTCCTATTTCCTTAAATTTTCCATTTTTATTTCTAATATTTATTTATTCATAAAAAATATCATGATACTTTTGTATCATTATGATATATTTGTTTTATTGTTATAAAATTTGTATGTTTATATGTTTTATGTCTACTTTGTATGTGTAGAGATTTTTATCTCAAAGAAACTATTTTTTCCATACAGTTCCTTTGAAAACTAATCTTGAATATTAAGTTAAAGATGAAGGGTAACTTTTTACATTCATCTTATGCTTCTGGTGTTTAAAATTATAGTTTACTTCTAGTAATCTGTACAATTTGTTACAAATGAACTGAGTATGTCCCAATATATTATAAGATACATTCCTAAGCATAAAAGAAATTTCTGCATCTCCATTAAATCTTTATTATATATACATTGAAGGTTATAGATAAATAAAGACCGAGATTTATCATTATATCATTAACTGAGTTTCTTCATCATTAGTGATTTTCTTTTGAATTTATTTCAGTATTTGAATTATATTTTTTGGGTGAAGTATAATCATACTACATTTTTACATACTTTTATATAAAACATTGTGTTTTGTCTCATCTTTTAATCAGTTCTCAGTTCAATCTTTGTTGTCTCAAATAATGTCTCTATTTTTTTTTTTATGTGGACACTGGACTGGACTTCTTCCATTAATTACGTAGCTTAGCAACCGGAGGTTCCAGGAAAATTACGAATCTTACTTATATGTATATGTGGCGAACATGCACAGTTACAATTGCATATACATATTTATCACACACATATACATAATTATTTATATATACATACATGTTTAATATATTATAAATTATACTTAGAAATAAATAACAAAATATTTACATAAATATAAGCAAATACAATATTATGATAACATTTTAAATATACATATATAAAAAATTTATATATAAATAATTATGTATATGTGTGTGATAAATATGTATATGTAATTGTAACTGTGTATGTTCGCCACATCACTCCCCTCCAGAGACCGTGTTACGGGCGAAAGTAGTCCGGCAACCGAACATGACGTCCCGATCGAGTAGCTTTTACGGCTGGAGTTTGAGCGTTTTTTAGTATGGGAATGATGATGGGGGTTGTAGGTGTGGAAGTTTCGTTGGAGGCGTTAGTGTCAGACAATATGTAGGCAGGTTTTAATCGGTCTACTGATACTGTGACATCTTTGCCTTTTATTTTAATTTTGAATACTTTAGCGTCTCTAGTCACCACTTCATACGGGCCAGTATATGCTGGTTGAAGAGAAGCTCTCAAAGCGTCCTCACGTAAGAATACGTGGGAACAAGTGGAAAGGTCTTTGTAAACAAATATTTTTTTATTAATTGCCAAGTGGTGCTTAATAGGGGCTGGTTGCATATTGTTGGCAAATGATCTGATTCGTGCTGAAAAATCAGTAACATCAGTTGTGCACTTGTCAACACTGCAATCAAAAAAATCACCTGGGAGACGTAAAGGTTCTCCGTATACCAGCTCAGCTGAGGAACATTGAAGGTCGTCCTTGAAAGAGCTTCGTATACCGAGTAGTACGAACGGCAGTGACTCAGACCATCGACAGTCCGCATGGCACATAATTGCAGCCTTTAGTTGCCGATGGAATCGCTCGACTAGGCCATTGCACTGAGGGTGGTAAGCAGTTGTCTTTCGATGTTTAAAACCAATGGTTTTCGAAAGCTGTTGGAACAGTGAAGACTCAAACTGCCTACCTCGATCAGTGACAATGTCAGTCGGGCAACCAAATCGGGCGACCCACCCAGAAAGGAATGCCTTGGCCACAGACTCTGCCGTAATATCGTCTGACACTACATATATAATTATATATTTTAATTCATAGGTAGAACACATATTTATATTATAAATTTTATATATTTATATTAAATCGACACACACAAAACATACGACAAGTTTTGTATATACGTAACACGGACCGCTCCCTGCGCCCGCGTACCTGCGGTCGTCTCCGGAGCCTCGCACTTCGTCTCATTCTAATCAGTCACGACCAGACGTTATATGCGAAGCCCGTGCCACTTTTATGCGCTCGTTAGCTAGCACGCTATACTTATATACATTTAAAGTTAATCGTTTTATGTTATTACTTTGTACAGTGCATTCTATAAACATTTGTATCCTCGCTTCTATATTCCGTACGCTTACTATTTCTCCTTCTGTGTGTGAATTATATGTTTTAATAAAGACTTATTACCATAACCTATATATATAATAATAAGAACTACATGTTAAAACTCATAACCTACACCTAAGACTACATGATTGTCCCGATGTTATGATAGCAATACCATTCCATAGCTTGTGTGTATCAGGAATCTTCTGGTTCACACGGCTTGGTGTTCGTTCCGCGGAGTCAGCGGCGTCACTCGTTGTATATTTTATACATACAACGATGTCGCCCCGGCGATGTTCATTTATTTTATAATATGTAGCGCGTACGTAACACATTTCTTTCTGTTTCTTATTTCTAGCTAAATCTATTCTGACAAATACCGCATTTATATATATTAGTGCATTTATCCATACAAACCATTGATAATATTCGTGCATAATGTTACAGCAGTCAGATCAGAACAAACATCTATATACTTTATGAATCTCTCAACTACCTCTGAACCACGAAAGTACCTTCAAACGATTACGATCTGTTCATAACAGCTTTACAAAGGTTACTTAAAAAGGAATATCCAGTGGAGATCCAAACATTCTTATTATTATCATTTGAAAACAAAACAAACAAAATAACTTGTGTGGACATAACCTGCTAACTAATTAAAACTATCATAATAATTTTTATTAAAACGAATAATGACCTTTCTTTTAGTTCAATCTCAATTGGTCACACACCTTCCCTGTAAAGTTATTTTAATTTCATCATCAAACGACTACGATAAATTTAAAACTAGTTATCGATTTACGATAACTTGTTAATAAATTCACTAATTAGAAAAATAAAACTTGGTCACTAGCGCTTAGAAAAACTATTACAGTAAAATGGCGAAAAAATATCTGAACGGTATGGTATATATACCAACAAATTAGATAGTCCCCTTTCATTTGACTATCAACTTAGTTTCTATGATATTTTAAACGAGTAGGATTAAGGAAGCAGTGCCCTAAACACTAACACATGCATAGTTTTACACACGCACACATACAAACATTTCCTGCATACACACGATATTTGTAGATCGTCCTTCAGAATTTTTTATTTAAAACTAGCTTTTGCCCGCGACTTCGTCCGCGTTACTTTGGTCAAGAGTAATATATGTAGGTATAGCTGACCAGGCGAACTCTATTCCGTCTTAGAGGCCATAAATAATCAAGTTTTTCCTGTTTCAATCAAACAGAATGATTGACATATTAGTTAGTTGTCAAATCTAATGTCAAAAAAACGTTTGTATGGGAAATAGAAAAGGGCTGTTTTTAGGGTTTTCCCGCAATTATTCCAATTTTCCTCACCTTTTAAACCTTCCCTGAACTTCCAGGAGTATTTCAAGGCTAAAATTAGCCAAATCGGTTCAGCCGT